GGACTCGTTATCTGAATGATCTGCATCCCAGAAATGATGTTTACTAAGTGACTGGAATCCAGTGCCGTTCGGCGTAAACGCCATTACGTTATTCACTTAGCTACTGAGTCCTGATAGCCACTTACTTGTGCAATGGGGTGAAGTTTAATACGTACAGTATCCACATATGTCAAGAAGTGACTGATCAGTTCCAGTCCTAAACATCAATGGGAAGATTCAAACAAATAATACCAAAGTGAATTTAATTGCTCGCCTAGTTAGCTACTATCCAATAAAATTCATTCACATTTTTAGTGCAGCATCAAAGAGTTATTTCAATTAGAGCATAAAAATGTCAAAATGAATTTAAACTAATTTAAAACAAAGTATGAACCAACAATAAAAGATTGACACGGATGGTATAAAAAGGGTTTGTTTTAGTCAGTGGTTATAAAGTTCAGAATTATACAGAATTATTTTAGTTGAGATAACCATATAGTGAGTAGGACAGCTTATTATTAATCTATCTTTTTGGAAAACTACTCAGAAAAATTAATGTATGTTGTTGTTGTTCTACTTTCAAAACCTACATTCATATCGTGTTTCGTGATGTTTTACGGAATGTTTTTTGTTCTTTAATATTTCACCATGTAATACAAAATACTGATATTGACAATACTAAACTTGAACTATTCAACGTGATATAATAAGTAGTGTACTTTCTTAATTATACTTCTGAAACGATAAAATGAAATGAGAATTTATATAATTTTGTATGTTTTAAATTTTCGCAAAGTAAAGAAATGATCTCTTCACAATTGTATAACTTTAGTTTTATGTACAAAAAGGCTGCTAAGGTTCAAAACTAAAGGTGAAGTAAATATAATACTAATATTTATCATTCCAAATCACATCAGTAAAGACTTGTGTAAGTGGCGCCGAAATCTTATTCACCAATGTTTTTTATGACTAGAAATATTTACTCATCAAACAACTATAGAAAACATAATGCGCCAGTGATAGTATTATGAATAATACAAATACTTAGACCTATCCACTATCAACTCGTACAATATTTATAGCGTCATAAATCCACTATTTCGATGTCTTTAGCAATAAACCTTTTACAGGATATCATCTGTCGCAAATTGAGTTAGTAGTTTCATGATTCAGTACTAACGTTCAGTACGTAATTTTTTTAATAAGAAAACTTGAATTTCATTAAACCGAACAATCACATTCGATAAACTTACTACGTAAACTTATTTTTGTAAACACTAAGATGCCTTTTTCATTCATAGGAATTCTAGAATAACATTGACAAATTATAAACAATTCATCAAACCAAAATCCACCACATGAGGAAAAAGATCAAAATAACTGCATTTTACACCCTCGTCAATACATTCTAGACTTGAAAGGGTCATTCATTAAAAAGAGTGACCTTTTATTTTACCCATCAAAAAGTACTTGTCTAAAATCTCGTTAAAATCATTTACTTAAACTCATGTATTTTATTCTTATCAATAGACAGACAATATTTATCTTGATGGATAGGATGTCCAGAAATTCAGCTTGTTTAAATTAATAAAAAATTATCATCATAAAAGAAGACAGATAGATCACTTATAACTAACTTCTGTTATCTATTTCATTACTGTCTAAATAAATCAACTGAGATTTTCAAGTAGACATGATGATGAAGTTATTCAGTCTTCAAAGAGCATAGTCAAGACGATTGTTATTATATGTGAATGTAGATAAATTCATTAGTTTGATTTCTATGACTGACCTACCAGACAATGATAATATAATATAATAAATACATTAGTAAGTTTTACAAGTGTTTCTGTATAAGTTGATGGAATTTTTCATCATCATATCCAATATCAAGTGAATAATTATTAAAAACTGTATACTATTAAACATCTGTTTCGTCTCAGCTTGTAACCTTCCATTTAAAGTAGATTCATGATTGAAATAACTTAAAAATATAGCAAAACAAAGTTCAGAAACTGACTTAGTTAAATGCTGATCGTGAAAGTAGTAATAATTAAATTCTAGATAAATTTTAAAAACTTTTAATAACAATCTTTAACCTATGGAGTTAACAAAGTATAGAGATAAGACAGCCATTAATTAATAATATTTGATAAGAATGGCACAGTATCACTAATAGACTGAGTCCTAATTAAGCAGTTTAAATAAATTATACTGACCTCAAAGCTTAAAATTCGTCATAGCTGAACTATATACATATTCTAATGAGTGCAAACTGGTAGGAAGTCAAAATCAGGTTGAAATACCTACCAAGTGCTCTTCTTTTTTATTGGTGTTAATATCATATTTAGATGAGCATTAACTATAGGTTACTCATGCTATAATGTATTATTATTTTGAATATAGCTCAACTTGGTTTCTAACACAGCATAACTTTTGAAGAATAAGTAAAACTAGATACACTCGAAATTTCGTGTATAAAAGTTTATTGTAGTTTGTTTCTTTCTATATGTTTAAACATAAAAAAGCTTCTGTAATTTGTTAGATAAAGTAGGTTTTCCTCCTAGTTTGACAGGTAAACGATCTTCGGTGAAATCATTTATTTTATTTTATTTATTCATTTTAACACATAGATATCGATACAAGGAGGCACCGAATACGTATGCGCCACACAGATCTCATTGGATTTATACCATATGCCTTTACCTATAGGTGGTTCAATATGTTACCATACTTGCCTTACCCCTAATTGTTAGGATTTATTTCCAAACTTTTTCAAGGAAACTTTTCTAAACGAGAAACTAAAGACTTTTTCAAACTTTATAAAAGATATCGTAGTTCATTTAAAATGAACAAATTGCCTTATGAACCATTGGGTTGTTTTCAAACATAATCTAAAACTGAACTTCAATCATTCTATAAAGTCAAAAAAGGCTTTCTATAAAATGTCCTTAATTTAACTAGGAAAGACTTTTAGCGTTGTGTAATAGCAATTGTCCATTTTTCCTTAAAATAGGATCGCTTATACCATTAAGCGATATTAACATTGTTAAGTTTCTTATAATTTTTAAGATTGTTATGTGAGTCGCTCAATATTGTTCCTGAACAGAGTTCGGATATCATAATAAAATAGAACAGCGGCACACGATCTGTAATAATTACCTTCTTACGCCTGTTACTCCCTCCCCGTAGAGGAACATAGGCCACCAACCGGCATTCTTCATTCAACTCTGTCCTGCCCAATTCTTTCCAGTTGCTACTCATACTTTTCATGTCTGCTTCCAATTCTCAACGCAATGTATTGATTGGTCTTCCTCTTTATCGTTTCCGTTCAGGATTCCTAGTTAGCGCTTTCTTCGTAATGCAGTTTGGTGATTTTCTGAATGTGTGTCCAATACACCTTCCACGTTGTTTCCCAATTCCCTCTTCAGATGAAAGTTGGTTTGTTCTCTTTCACAGTAATTTGTTGCTGATGGTATCTAGTCAACGGACATTCAGTATCTTACGTAGATAATAGTTCAGAAATACTTGTACTGTTTTCATGATGGTTGTAGTAGTTCTCGAAGTTTCAGCTCCGCGCAATAGAACCTTCTTGACGCCCTCATTGAAGATTCTGACTTTGATATTGGTTGACAAGTGTTTAGAGCCACATATGTTCTTCAACTGTAGGAATGTTGCCATTGCTTAACAAATCATTGCCTTCACATCTGCATCAGATCCTCCTTGTTCATGGATGATCCTGTTCAACTACGTGAAAGTTTCCACTTATTTTAGAGTTTCTCCATCGAGTGTGACTAAGTTGGTTTTCTCTGTCTTGCGATTCAGCATCTTGCTTTTTCTTTAGTGTATGTCATGGCCAACTGATTCAGAGACTGCTGCTACACTAGTTGTCTTTATCTACATTTGTTGATATGTATAGGATAGGAAGGCCAGGTCATCTGCAAAGTTCAAATCTTCTAAATGATTCTGAGCTGTCCATTGTATTCCGTGTTTTCTCTCAGATGTCAAAGTCTTCATAATCCAGTCAACCACCAGAAGAAAGAGAAAGAAAAAGAGTAAGCAGCCTTGTCTGACTCCGGTCCTTACTTGGAATCTGTCAGGTGTGCACCAAGCACCAGTTCTCAGTGTAGTTGATCGGAAGAATTCTCTGTGGTGTTAACAATTTTCTCAGGCACATTACTTAGTCTAGTGATATTATAGACTCTAAGAGCTAAACTATTGAACGAAACTGATACATTAGTAATATTAATTAATTAAATTTCTTTGTAGTTATTTTCTAATATATCGATAATATGATAATATTGTTCTTAGAATTTGTACATTATATGTATATAGATTGCTACACAGCGGACTATGAAATAAGTTAACTAAACCTTATAAACTATTAGTAAGTGTCTTCAATAAATTCCATATGATTGGAAGATTGTTTTTGATAAGATGGAAAGAAAAGTCGAAATTCGATTGATTTACTCACTATGGGTTTTGTTCAACATTACTTCTGTTCTGATTCAATGTGATGATCATTCAGTGTATTACTCGTTTTCTTTTCTCGTATGATATTTTATTTTGTATAATATACGATATTCTTGTATTCCATTGACATGAACTATGCTCAGTATGTGATTTGTTATAACTCTAGTTATTTTTCATGTATGTGATTTCATCCTAATTATTAATCAAAATGAGTGTACGAATCAACATATAAATGAGTGTATTTTCGACTAGGGTCGTCGATACTGTCCGGAATAACATTGCTTTCACTAATCTTCTATCTTATTGTGACTTGGAAGGGTTCTAGCATTCTAGTGCTCAAGTTATACGCGGTATATCAATAATATAAACTCTAGATGTAACAGTTTTAATTATAAATTATCGCCATCTTAAAGAACATTTCTTTCTAAATGTACATTTTCTCCAGAACCTCTAACTTATCCATAATTATTTATCTAATAATGACTAACATTGAAAAACATTTCCAAATATTTTGATTTAAAAAAAAAAACAAACAAACAAACACTTACCAGTAAAAATATAGTAAACTGACAAATTACTGAAAAAAAGAAAAACTTTATGGTAGCCTTGATTTTTAAAAGAAAAATTTACTTCGTCTAAAGTATTTTAATGAATCATAGTTTTTTATTACAAATAATAATCACATATTTCATGTATAATTGTGTTTCTCAATTAATTTACACACATATAGTTGTCATTTATATCAAATGAAATGCGCTTATTTGATTGATATAAATCAAAATTTATTTAACAGTAAAAAAAGAAAAAAATTTCATCTAATCAATATTATTTGATTTTGTTTATAACAATCGTTTTTACTGGTATCCAATTTTATTTTTTTCAATATAAAATTCCCTGTATATTTGAAAAAGTAAACAAATGAATTGATACTCAATTGAGTCATTTTCTACAAAATATACATTCATCAGTTATTAACTGACCAAAATCTGGATGTAGACATTTTCTTGTTCATCCATCATTCGAGATCCTTTCTTCTTCTACTTACATTTGAATGTATGTAATCTATATACATGTACACTTGTCATTTCGAAGATAGTTTATTAAAAATAATTAAATATAAGAATAGGAAGAAACTGGCTATCAGGTATTTATTGTTGTTGTTTTTTTACTTGAAAAGCACACTTCATATTTTCGATATGTAAGTGTACAATTTTGTTTAGCCTATCTGTTCTATGCTTCCTTCACTTTAGGAAATTTCTTCACATCTACAGTTCACTCAATAGTCCATGATACTATTTCTATTTTCTTTTTGTTTTACAAAAGTGAATTCACAATATGATTGACTGTCTTAATTTTGTACTTGTTTTCATTTAACCTAGTTTAATACAAAACGATGACTAGCCGATTTCTTGAAATTGTGCGAAAAAAACAAATGTAAGTGACTATAAAAAGGTCAACTAGATAATATACATATGTATGATAACATTATTTTTTCTCCCTAAGCTTACTTTATTTATTAGCTAAAGCAAGTATAATTTTGTCTTGCCTTGTCCTCATTTACTGACTACATTTAAAATGTTATACGCAGCAATGTAATACGATTTCTTTACCAAAACGTATGATATTATGATGTTTTTTATGTTATTCTATGTCTTTTCTTCTTCGGTTCTTTCATCTGTCTTGGTCGTTTGTTGTTTATGTCTGGTAACTTTTTCTGTTATTATTTGTTACTTAAATTTGGCACAGAATAGACAAAAACTAATTTTCATAACATTATTACTTAATTAGTGCTTTGGAAAATAAACAGTCTTGTATTAAAAAGTATGAATTACATAGACGAAAGATGAAATTATCAAGCACAAAAAATCTTCAGATAATTATGAATGGTTTATCACTGAGTCGATATCTAGTGGAATTTTATCAATCAACTTGCGATATGGTCACTAACATATGGGATCAGATATCATGTGTACTATACTGAGGTGTTACGTGGCAGTCGGTGGGAAACCCAACTGTCAGCTACATCCAACCACCTAATAAGATAAGAATGATGATTGAATAATGCGATGAAGAAGTGCATGTTCACTAACATTTTATGTATAAAATATATTTAAAAAGGTTAAATACCGTCTATGTTGATCTAGTTTGTTTTATTTACCATACAATAATACGTGACTCAGAAAAATAGCCTATTTTTTATTTGCTCTTCTTCATTCTATTCATTATTTGCTTACTCATTTTGTCTTGAAAATAGCTTTCTTAATATATCCTAAAATGAGTACAGACGTGGCGTTTGTTTCCAGAAATTATGTTTTCCTTCACTAGGATGACGTTTGATATGTAGAAAAATGAGTAATTTTCATAACGAAAATTGAAAATCAATTAAGACCACCGTAAGGATTCTGTTAGTTTTAGAGAATATTTCTTTCCGTAGAAAAATAAGACCTAATTATGAAATTGTGGAATTTATGATAGACATTTTATTGTATACACTGCTTTATAATACAATCACTTTCAAGTAACGGTTTGAACTCTGAGACACTTCTTTATGTAAATTCAGTTGCTACTTTAACTGTAATGAACAAGAACACGAGTGGGGAAAATCGAATGTATTTGACACAAAATTACAGAGCATACCAGTAAGAGCCCAGAACCATATATAGGAAATAGTTAATTTGCAAAATATCAATCCATCATATTAAACTTGACTGTTCCTGTTGCATACATTAATCCATTGTCTCAGATTTCATTGTTCATGCGTTTTCATACTAATTGCTTTCTGTTCCCGTTCTTTTCTTCTCGATCTTCTACTGAAATACATTCTATACCTGACCACCGTTATACACTACTTGTATGGATATGAGTAACCCACACCATATAGCAAATTTAGTATTTTTTTTTATAAAGAAACTAACTTCAATTATTCCGTAGGGACTCTTCGAAAATTGTAATACAATACTTTTACAAATTAACATAACCTGATTTAAATATTGTTCTATTCAAATTTAGATAACAATAGTATCAAAATCCATTTGCATAAAATGATAATTTATAAGTTGAATGATTCCATCTTCGATTTCTGTCCCTTTCTACTGTGCTGTATGTTATTTGTGTTTGTAATACCAATCAGAAATAGTACTTAGGGCAGCAGAAGGTTAAGAGGATCGAATTGAAGAAAAATACAAGTATAAACAGAAAATAATATTAATAATAGCAGAAATAAAGGAACAATGAAGTTTGTAAGCGAGAACTGATGGATAATGTGCAAAATAAAGTATTTGGTGTATGGTTTTTTTATACTTCACGACATTCTGTAAATAAATTGGTTTTCTTCATCAAGTATTCGTTCACTGTACTACTTACTAACCTTACTTTCACTTTATGAAGTAATTTTCAACTTAAAGATATGCTTTTGTCAATATAATATTGTTTTATAAATCTATTATTGTATTCTAAGATTACCGTGGTTGTAAATGATACCATAATATCCTACAGTGTATTCATTCATGTATCTTAAAACAGCTTGTATTAGTGCTTTTTACTTTACATACCAATATATACAAATAAACTTCTCTTTTCAGTCTTATAAATTTATACTATCTAGAATCACTTAATAAACATAATTTAAATTTATCCGGCTTACAACTGAGAACACATCAATATGTTCAATTTATCAGTGAACTGATGTACACAAATCTGCTAAACTTCATCAGAATTAGTTAGTATGACAAATAAATGAATTCATACTGACTAAATTCCGCGTTTAATATTTTCTTAAATGCCATAAAACGATAGTATATTTTAAATAATTTATTATGGAGCTATAATTTAATACTTAAAGCACTCGTATTTCAATCGATAAATCACAGGTTAAAAACCCTTTCCTTCTAGTTTGCTTTACGTAGCCTGGTGATATTATAGACTCTAAGAGCTAAACTATTGAACGAAACTGATACATTAGTAATATTAATTAATTAAATTTCTTTGTAGTTATTTTCTAATATATCGATAATATGATAGCATTGTTCTTAAAATTTGTACATTATATGTATATAGATTGCTACACAGCGGACTATGAAATAAGTTAACTAAACCTTATAAACTATTAGTAAGTGTCTTCAATAAATTCCATATGATTTAAAGACTGTTTTAAATGTAACTTAACACCACCTTAAAGAGCATTTCTTTCAAATTGTACATTTTCTCCAGAACCTCTGACTTATCCATAGTTAGTTGTTCTAATTTTCACAATGGGAATTTTCAATTTATCCATAGTTATTTACCCAATAATGACTAACACTGAGAAACCAATCAAACCAAATGTGATATTAACAATTTGAATTTTCTTTGAAATCCGAAACATTGCGGCCGATAGCTTTTTATAAACGATGTAAACATTACTACTATTCCGTTCCTACAGTGATGTGACTTTGAGGCTCATGATATTTAAATTTTGTGAACTAACTTCATAGGTATTCAGCCATATCGGGCTACAGAGCATTTATTTTCTCGATTTCTTATCATTAGTTTTAATTAATTCTAACTTCTAAACCTGATCGTAGAGTCTAATTGTACTCAGATTCCCTAACCTTAAATCCTAAGTAAAACCTGCATTCTTCTCGGGCCTTTATCCATTTATGTCATCTTTACATTACGTCATCTTGAGTTGTTGAAGTTTTTCATTATAAACTACCTTCACCGCTACCGGTTTTAGAATAAATCAAATCAAATGTAGTTTTATAATTTGCTAACAATATCAAGTAGAGATTGGTTTACATTAGAAACTGGATGAAGTGTAAACTGGAATCCGTTAAATGTTGACAAAGTATTTGATTTTATATGAATATTTCTCAATATTTGAACGAATAGTTCGACAGAATTCGAAAAGATCTCGGCTACTGAAATTTCAGTTGCTGATACTATAATTTTACATGCAGTATGTAAATTTACTTGATCTCCATGAAACCTTAATCCACTAAGTCCGATCATGTGTAGGATCATTGGTGAGTTTTCTTGAGGAGTTCCAAATGTGATACTGGACTAGGGATTCTTGGCTGGTATTAGTATTCAGCTGCTGATGAGTAGTTATAAGTATCTCACTTCTTCATCAGTCAGCAGTTTTGTACTACTAAAGTACCGATAGCCTTCCCTGAATCTCTACATACCAAACTCTTTGAAGCTCAAAGTAACAATTTGAATTCGTCCTTTCTATGACTAAATGAAAAATTGATAACCATGTTTACATTATTAAAATAAACAAAATGGAATAGTGATTTCCATACATAAGAACGGTTAGCAAATAAAGTGATTCCGTTTCCTGATATGAAAACTCTAGTAAGAATACAAACTTGAAATTAAACTTCATTTTTTTTGTCTACGGACATTATTATTACTGTTACTCTTATCATTAGGTATATTCTGTTTAAATTTCTGATAGTAATTTTCACCAAAAACTGATTTCAGGAAATCAACCTTTATGAAGTAAAGCACATCGGTTGGTTACATGAATTTAGCTCAAATTTCTTCAAAAATGTATACCTAGTGCACTCCAGTTAATAACAAAGTTTACCCTTGAAATGTGCAAAATTTTCCAAAACACTACTTCTATTGAACATTCTTTTAGAATATATCAGACAGCTAACGAAAATTTGATTATGGTTGAAACCTAAAGCACAAACTATTCACAGACAGAAGAAATGCGAAATACGCTAAAATATATTAGCCAATGCAGTATAAAAGGTTATCTTTGTTTTTTTTATCCAATTCCAAATATGAACCAATTCTGATTGGGACAAAAATGTAAACTTATGTGCACATGAACACATAATAACAAGCAAACTGGTAAGAAAACAAAGAAAATATTGT